CTCACCGCTGTGTCGCCCCTTCCAGGTTGCAAGAGGAGATGCTTCAGAGGGAGGAAGCTGAGAACACCCTGCAGTCCTTCAGACAGGTTTGAGGGGGCTGGAGGAAGGGCGGGAGCTGGAGGAGAGGTGGTGGTAGTGGGACGGGAGGGTGGGACTGCAGGAGTTTGCTTTCCTCGCACAAAGGAATCCCGGCGGTTCTCACGAAAACCCTCCCTGTTTCCTTTAGGGGGATGCTGCGGTCTGCAGGGCGGGGAGGGAAACTATTGTCTTGTTTTATCCAAGTCTAGCCTGTTTTACAAAAAGCTCTCCGATGTGGAATCACTTTCCGATCCAATAAAAGTGAAAGGGGGGCCATCTGCTCGCTTGGCTGAAGGGTATTAATGGTTTCTATGGGATTCACCGTGGAATGCAGATACAGGCATTATGGCAAGTGTGGTGGCAGCAGATTGAAATAATAGATCCCTTTGTGTCGGAGGGGAGGGTGCAGTGGGCTGCATTCTTACTACATGTGTAATGGTGCGAGCATATTTCTAGCCAAAAGTGTCCATCATGTGTACGGTCCAGTTTTTACATAAACCAGAGCTCCTTTTTTAACGAGTCGCTTTGGTCAGTGCATGACTGGACAACAGTTTCAAATTTAAATTTTTTCATATGGGTGTTGCCTGCTGACAAGCAGCAGGCAATTTGTTCCTTGGGGTGAGGTCACAGCAGGCAAGCCTGCCTCCTATGGATGTCCTTTACGAACACAGAATTTATCCTTTGTGAAAGAAGATGTTAACATAAGAAACAAGTTGCCTTAGCGTTTCTCCTCTGGGGGATGTTATGATGTTACCCAGATAAACTAAAACCTGTGTGACAGCCAGAACCAACTGTGCAAACAGTGTTCAAAAAGTGTTAAGCTCAGGATTTCACATATGCAAAGCCAGCTTTCAACTTGGATTAAGTCTTGTTTGGAGTAGAAGGTATTTTGGAATGTGGTTTCTCAAAACAAGGTCTCTTCCTGAAAACTGCTGGTGTGAAACGGCATTGGTAGCATTCCTCCTGGCTGGAAGTGATTGCCTTTATCTCCAGACGTCTCCATGTCCAGCTGGACATGGGCTGACTTCATTTCAAAGCTCTTCACAGACGTTAGTGATGTCACCATTCAGGAAATCATCACTTGATCATTACTTGATTGTCTGTGTTTCCCTGGCTAAGGCTCTTGACTAGAGTATATTTATAGTCTCTGAAGGAGAGCAGGTGTCTCGGTGAGATAATGTGTGGAAACCGGGAGACCTATTCCCATTTGGAGTCTGGGAATTCAGAGTCTCCGCTGGTCTTCTGGGGACAGAAGTTTGAAACAAAACAGTTTAAGATGCTGCCTTAACTTTAGCTTGTGTTTTTTTTGAGTGCTAAGCCAACAGTGTAAAGTCCTATGCGAAGCACTTAAGTTTTAGAGAACCTAAGTTGTTCTGATTCCTTGCTGAATTCAGTTAAAGAGTCCTTTGACTTAAGGGTGGCTTTTAAATGATCCTTCATTGGTATACTTTGAGGCATGTGTACCTCAATTTCAAACCATCAATTAAATTTCTTGAAGGCTCTAGGCTTTTAAGTGAACTTGGCTTTATGCATATTCCATGTTCATTATCCAGCTCCTCCCTGCACTGTGGAAAGTCATTCAGGAGCTGAGCCTCTAGCAAATCTCTGTGTGCAGTACAATCAGAACTGGATCTACTTAGCCTCCTGAGGTGTAGCTTATGCATAAGAATTGTAAATCATTGTAGAAACCCTGCACTAAATCTGCTCATGATGTAACTGGTACATTCTAGTGTGTTTGATTTGAACAACAGTATATTTAATTTTTCCTTACAATGAAAGGATAGGATAACATTTGTTTCAGTATGAGTATTTCTCTCCTGCAAGTGAAATTCAGAGAACACAGAAGGTAAAACATTGTTTATTTTCCATCCTACAAACTTCCAGTTGTAAAAAAAAAAACAAAACCCCAAAAATATATAAGGCACAGCTTTTTATTAAACCATTGTATTCTTGTACTGGTAAATTGTATGCGTGGATCTGGAACACTTCAGCAGATACTTTATTGTTCCGGTGTAGCATCAAGTTTATTTTTCCTTGATGGAGCAGTTGTATAGTTCAGTACTCTAAAAGAAAGTGAACAAATGTTTAAACTTAAACTTCGTTTTTCTAAAAACTGCGTGCTTTAGAGACTGTTCAACTCATATGTATGGTGAATTTTAATTTTTCTCCTGAGCAGAGATGTGATTTTACTCGTATGCTGAGGGCTTTGCTGTGTGAAATAAAGCTAAAGACTCAGTGAGGTCTTTTCTTTGGGACAAAATAAGAATCACAATTAGTGAGAAAGTTGTTTGCTGCAGCTTTGCCAGTTACTCTGGCAGCAAGGAATAGGTCCTGAACCTAGGACAAGTCTAACGCGTCTGCTCCTGGCTAACATGAAGTTTTTCTGAAGTAACCATGGATGCTCAACTCTGGAAACTATGTGTCTGGCATTAAAGAATCTCCTAGGATAAAATCAATGCTTAGTCCAGTTGCATATATGGATGTCGTACAATTGGTTTGCTCAGGCTACAGGTAGCTTATTAATTTCTGTGTTTCCCTGTACATCTAGGAAGTACAGATACATTGATTCTTTACTCCCTAACTTAATGATAAGGTATACAGTAAAATACATACCTTACAGTCTGTAAGTGTCTTCAGTTTAAGATGCTTTCAATTTATTATAAGCTCCTAAAAATCCTGTATCTGTTCAGTTGTCCTGAAAAAAATTAATAGGATGTAGGTTTCTGTAAGATAGGTTGGAAACTCTTTGGATGTCTGTCTGATTGTGTATACATGTTGGGCCATACCCATGTAATTTCCTACCAAAATGATCTTCAGTTTCTTTGGGGTAGGAGACTAAACGAATGAAGGCATTAGTCTCTGCATTGAAAAACAGCTGATATGAACAGTGTGGGTGTAAAATTGGAGATGACAGGGAAGTTCTGGGGTGTTTTACTGGATAAAGAAAATGGAAGAATTCTTCTGGAGCAAGAACCTTACCCTAGAGTAAGAGGAATCCAAGAAATGGCTTTCTAGAAGTCCAGAGAAAACACTCCTCATTTCAAAAGTGCCATGAAAGTGAGAACTGCTGATTAGGAATGGTTATGTGTTGGGCAGTCCAAAATAGCTTTTAGTTTTTTTTCACAGCTTTAGAGTAAGCTGTGAAACCCTGATATATTACCTTGTGAATGTAAGCAGGAAGCTGTGTATTTAATTAATATGAAAGTAACAATTGTCCCCTTTGCAAACTAATTGTCATGCATGTTTAAAATGTAAGAAGTTACCAATCAATGTTTAGTGTTATGTTATTGAACTAATTTAAGCAGCTCCTGTGTAACATTCACAACATATCTTCTGTTAGGCCTTAAATGAATTTTTGCCGTTGATTAAGACTATCTCCGTCCAGCAAGAGGTGGAGTCTTTGCCAGCTACTGAGAGGGTGTAGGCAATGATGACTAACTTCATCTGCATTTATGCTCATAACTTCTTTTTCTCAAGGGAGATCTGTCAAACCACTTGGAACCACAGTAAATGCTTGCAGTTCCTATATATACCTCACTAACTTCGTAAGTGTGCTTCATAACTTTGTGGACCCAAAGGGCTTTTATGGACTCACCAAGGAGTCCATAAGAAATTAAACCCTCTGACAGGCATGTAGGCAAATGGGTGGCACTTTGAAGCCCCCACTGTAAAAAATGGAATTTTGCAGATTGCAACGCTACCTCTTTTTCAGTGTAGTCAAGCTAAAAGAGCTGATTGCTGGCTTCTGACCCAAGTACCTGCTTCCTCTTCAGGCAGGGTTTACACCCACCGTGATCTGTGTGCTCTTGATCATGCTCAGCAATACACTTTATATGCTGTATAGTTCCCCAAATCACAATAGAGGTGTACATAGCGGTCTCTGAGGCTAGGGCAGGAGGTAGAAAAGGTAAAAAGAGGTTTTTCACAGCTCTTGATTTCATATTATCTTGTCAAAAAGCTCAGATGTAGCATCAGTCTGTATGCTACTGAACCTGCTGTAAAAGACTTCTCCACATTAGTTTTGCAAGATTGCTAATTGTCCTTCTCTCTGGTCAGGATGTTGACAATGCCTCTCTCGCACGTCTTGACCTTGAACGCAAAGTTGAGTCCCTGCAAGAGGAGATTGTCTTCTTGAAGAAGCTTCATGATGAGGTAAGCTGAATAATAAGGTCTGTGATTAGATACTGACAGCCTAGTGAGCAAGTAAGCTCTTCGCTGGTTCTGGCTCAGAGTTCCGATCTGTGTATGTTCCATATGCTGTCATGTAGTAACACTGGGTGTCTGCTTCGCTCTAAGGAAATCCGAGAACTGCAGGCCCAACTCCAGGAACAGCACATCCAGATCGATATGGATGTTTCTAAGCCTGATCTTACTGCTGCCCTGCGTGACGTTCGCCAACAGTATGAGAGCGTTGCTGCTAAGAATCTTCAGGAAGCTGAAGAGTGGTACAAGTCCAAAGTAAGTAAAATCTGTTCGGATGCATCAGGCACTCTAACTGTACAGAAAAGCTTTGCTGTAGCTTAGTGGGAACATGGTGTTCCCTCTATTTCTCCACTGGACACGAACACAGCCATGGCTGTAAACTCTTAGTCTAGGAAGAGTGCAGCTGAAAACATTGTGTGCTATAGGTACAGCATCAGAGTAATGGGTCCATACTTGGAGTTTTTCCTATGCTTGTACCTGGAGGCAGATGTTGGATGAAATACTGGAGAAAGGAGTGAATGAATAGGTAAAAAAATGGTGTAAAGATGGGAAACGTACAGGGCAGGGGAAAAAAACATGAAAGGTTTAATGACAAATGTCAATTTAACAATTAGAAAGGAATTTTAGGAGTAATGCTAATGGGTGTTAAGGCTTGTAGTGGCTTCAGTTGCACTCGAATGCTGTGTCCAAAAACTGTCTGTTATACCTTTTATGTTGAAGTGCTATGCTAACTAAGCTGGGGATTTCCACAGTTTGCAGATCTCTCCGAAGCTGCTAATAGGAACAATGATGCCCTGCGCCAGGCCAAACAAGAAGCTAATGAATATCGCAGACAGATTCAGTCTCTCACCTGCGAAGTTGATGCCCTTAAGGGAAGCGTAAGTAGAAGACAGGAGTTGTTGGGACACTTTCTTTTGCAGCTTTAAGCACTGCAGTTTAATTGTTGATAAAAATGTGAATGCAGCTATCTCCCATGCAATACAGCTGCATGTTAGTACTTCTTGAAAAGGATGCTGTGGGCTAAATTTGCCCACAGTGCCCTAACCAGTGCACTGGTTAGATTGCTATACCCAACTAGTCTTCCTTAAGGTATAAATGATGAATTCATTCTTTTGCTATAATACTCACTGTTTATGTAGTGCTTTCTGGAAGTGTTTATGGCCTGTCTGTCGGGTACAGCTGCAGCTATAAGAAAGGCTGGAGGAGCAGTGCAAAGGTGGTGCTAATCTTGCGGTTGCTAGAACCTGTCTGCCTTAAAGGCTTGCTCGAAATGGATTTAAGTGCATAGTAAACATGCACATCCCTTCACTGAGGACTGCCTGCATGCTGAATTGTACTGCGTGTGTTGGGCTTACTGTAAGAGATTGCCACCTGGTAGGACAAATACATAGTGCACCTCAGATCAAGTAGCAGACTAATCCACCTCTGCAAGAGGAATATAAGGAGATGAGAAACTTGGGACATGTCTGGGCACTTTCAGAAAGAACACTAACATAAATCAACTTTGCTTTTAAAAGAAGAATGTAAAGGTCTTGAGGGTGGGGAAGAGTGACTGAGCTGCAGCAGAGCTTGACTTCATTATTCTCTTCCAGAATGAATCCCTGGAGCGCCAAATGCATGAAATGGAGGAGAATTTTGCTGTTGAAGCTGCTAACTACCAAGACACTATTGGCCGTCTGCAGGATGAGATTCAGAACATGAAGGAAGAAATGGCTCGCCATCTCCGCGAGTACCAGGACCTGCTGAATGTAAAGATGGCTCTTGATATTGAGATTGCCACCTACAGAAAACTGCTGGAGGGTGAAGAGAGCAGGTAAAAATCACATGCAGGCACTTTTCTAAATAGCAGTTACTAGAAGACACTCTGTGCCCATGTCTGACTGTATCCATTTCCTTTTTTCCTTCAGGATTAACATGCCTATTCCAACCTTTGCTTCTCTGAACCTGAGAGGTAAGCTGTTTCTGCTGCTTCAGTTGACAGCTGTTCTATCATTAGCAAAAGAGCCCCGGACAATTTCCTTTAGTATTTGAACTTGTATAAATGCAGTTGTGTGTGAATGTAGCTATAACTACATTATTTGCCATTTCTTAACCTTGGGTGGGAGGAGCACCTTTGTTCCTAGGCACAGATACTTTTAAATATCAGTGTGTAGTGAGCGGTTGCTTTAGATGCCTGCTGAAGATGCTTTAAGCGGAACAGTGAGAAAGATGGAGAAGATTAGCTTATCATTCAGAGCAGGAGATTTCTTCATATATAAATTAGGATTCTGAAAGTAGACATTAAAATCTGTTACTCTTCATTTCTTTGAGAAAGTACTTCATCTAGACTATACTAATAATACATTCTCTTCTGCAGAAACTAACATTGAGTCTCAGCCAATGGTTGACACTCACTCAAAGAGGACACTTCTAATTAAGACTGTCGAAACTAGAGATGGACAGGTTGGTGGCAACTTTATTTCTATCACAGTTGGTTTTACCTTAAAATACTCTTCAAGTTTGTTTACTGGTCAGCGCAGCCGGTATACACTAGTAAGTATTGAGCAGAACAGCATCTGTCAGTCTGAGCTGCATGGCTGAACATACAGATGTAGCAAACTGCTTTTGTGGAAACAAGTGCAAAATTCATCTGATAGTGAAACCTTAAAGGGGCCAATAGTTACCTGTGTAGTGAGTACTTAAGTTCAGCTGAGTTAGCAAGTTCTCAAAAGATTTCTCACACCCAAGGAAAATGTGGCAGTAAAGAGGTACTTGTCTGGGACAAGATATTGCTTTCATACTAAGTCAAAGCTTAATAGTGTCTGCACACTATTTTCCAACTACACCTTCTCATCCAGAAGTGAGAGCTGAAACCCATTTTTTCACATTCTGTGGTACCAGATGTTTGAATTCTACCTCTAAAAAACCCAACAGTCTTCCTACTAAAACTTAATGCAAGTGTCTCTGTTTATCAACAGGTTATTAATGAGACTTCCCAGCATCATGATGACTTGGAGTAAAGCTGAGGTGAAGATGCATACTTATTAATGCAGGAGAAACTCTTACCAGCAAGATTTAAAAAGTCCATGTCTTAAAGGAAGAAACAGCTTTCAAGTGCCTTTCTGCAGTTTTTCCATGAGCGCAAGATTATTATGCTAGGAAATAGGTCTTAGATCTTGCAAACTGACTCTCCCTGAAGGATTAGAGTTTACAATGGAGTCTAGTTTACAAATAGCAATATCTTGTGCTGCAATACTGTTTTTAAGTATCTGAATTCAATAAAACTGCTTTTTCCAGCACAGTATGAGCAACCTGTCGCTACTTCAATAAATCTTTGGAAAATGGCTCTTGATGTGTTCTAATTTGTTAACTTCATGACTTTCTGGAAAGCCGTAACACCATAATGCTGGAATTATTATACGGTTGACATCTAGTACTGGTTGTGTGGATTGCTGTTTTTTCAGTTTAACTAGATAAACTGTCTTACTCATTTACTGCTTAGGTTTTGGAACCAACTAAAATGGACTATAACTGGCAGATGCATAATGTATTATGATATTTCTTATCACTTGAATAAAATGATACTTCAAGCTAATAAAAATTAATCTTGCTTTCATATACTAGTTAATCCAGTTACTAAGAGCTAAGAATGCCCAAAATACCTGAAGACTCAGCTGTATAAAACATAGTAGTTAAGTGGCTGTGGAGTAGTTCACGCAAGCCCTTATCTGAGAAAGCACCTTTCATAAGTTAACAGCTGACTTCATTTTCCAGGAAAGACTAGTTCCCAAAGGCTTGTGTGTATTACAGAAGCTAGATGAGGGCTTCAGCTGGACTGTGGGGTTAGACATAGTGAAAGGGAATGCATGGAGTAATTTGCCTTACTGGTGACTTTGTTCCAGCGTTTAAACCCCTTTAAGAAAAGAAGAGCCACTGTGCTTTGTGTTTTCTACTGAACATCAGCCTAAATGCAGAAGAATGGGGAAGAAAAAGCTCCTATTTGGCCTGCTGTAGTCTTTAAGAGGCAGAAGTGAAAGGTTGAAGTTCTTAGTGAACACTTAGAAGCTTGCTTTTCTTCTGCAGAAAGGTACTTCTCAAATTAACACATAGTCAAAACCTCAGCACAGCTCTTACCCCACAAAAATTGCTACTCTGTTCTGCATTAGTCCTGCAAAGCCTGCTTCTTGTAAGCTTTTACTCAGATGCAATTTTTGTGCAGTAAGTGCAAACTGGAGTTGTTTGGAAAGCATGAATTGCACTCAGTGTTTGTTCATGGTAATGGCAATAGTTCCATACACAGACACTGTCACAAGCACTTGGGACCGGATCTGTAAGAAAAATTGTTTTTCTTACAGATAACTTACTGTTATCCCCATCTGAAAGGGATGAAAACCCCTACTTTTTTCATCCTTATCAGTTCTTCCCTTTGCTCCAGCGCATGACTAACCACATGCAGTGCAGGCACCGGAGTGAGGGGGCAGTAGACTCCACCTTTTTCATCCCAGTTTGCTGCACCAGGTGAAGAGATGCGCAGGGAGGATGCTGAAGCAAGAGGTGGGCAGTGCCTGGGGGGTGCTGCAGCCCTCTTACATCTCAGACGCATGGGTGTCCCGCAGCCTATAAGTAGGGGCCTAGGCGTGACTGCAGGTTTCATCTTTGAATCCTCCAGGGAGAAATGCTGAAGCTGTTCTTCAGCGCAGAAAAGCACCTCATTTTTCAAACAAGGCATGGCAATGCTGTTCCTGCCCCGTTTTTCTCTAGTAAGTGTTCATAGAGGACTTCAGCCTCTCACGTCCACCTCCCAGCAGGCCAGAGGGGAGTTTCCTCTTCCCAATTACACTGCACTTGGGCTGATGTTCAGCAAAGCAAACAAACCTATTTGACTGGAACGTGTGCTTCTCCAGCTTGGTGCTTTAGGTGCTCACCTGCGGGAAAAGTCTTGCACTAGTCCTGTTTGTTCTGGTGCCTTCCACACAGAAAGGCCAGAAGTGACTCCAAGGAGAGTGCCCAGACCCAAGCCTCAGCCACTGCTTGCTGCAAAGTAGAGCAGATTCAATCTGGTCTACAGTGTGGTAAGATAGTCATGTTAAAAAGTGAAGAGTGAACCCAGCCTTCTTCCTGCTGCGGAGGTTACAGACACCAGGTTTTCTACTACCTATTGACTTCCAGAATGATAAAAAAGCACAAACAAGGTTACATGGGAGATGCTTTCTGTGATAGTAACAGCTCTAGGCATGTGCAATAGATAAATTTGAACACTTAATAGGCTCAAGTGTCTACAACCTTTCGGGATAAGAGTGAGATAAGGTGCTGATGTCCTGCCTGTTGCAGACTGCTGAAGTCTTTTTCCTGGATTTGGACACTGAAAAGGTTGGGCCAATGCAAAGTGTCATTTCTTGCAGCTGAAGCAGCGTGTGAGCCCTGGATGGTGGCATCTGGCAGCAGGTGGGCAGGGAGAGTCAGGTCAGGGGACAGTGGGACTGTTCATGGCTCTGGGCAGAGACCCGCGGCACAGCATGCTGCCTGAAATGCACACTGACTGCTGGAGGTTACCTGAAGTGGGATAGTCTTTCAGGTGTTGCTTCTCTGCTACCAGCTATTTGGCTTGCTGCTTTCTGTTGCCTTTGATTGCTTCACCCAGTAGATGAAAGAAGTGACTGTATCAAGCACTGACAGGACAGCAAAGGAGTTATTTCTGGCTCTTCTGTGTTTGGGGTTACTCAGAGCAGAGAGAAGCATGTGGCAGAGCTTTCATTGCTGGGAATAAATACAAGAATAAATAAAAATAAATAAAAATAAAACCTAGTTGCCAAGGGGATAGGAAGATTGCAGGAAACCTCCAAAGCCTGCGCTCTGTGTAAGTGTGTGAGTACCCTCATGGTGGAAAGGAAAGCAGATGGTGACTGTGTGAACTTCTCAGTGTTTGATCTAGGCACACCAGCCTTATGCCTGTGTGTAACCACTGAAAGCTGCTTAGTGCTGAGCCAGCAGCTAACCTCAGAACTGCTGTAATACGGGGCAGCCCTCAGAGTGGCTAGGCACCTTCCTACCCTCCAGTGAGCACCATGAAGCTGCTGCTGTGAGCTTACAGAGCAACCACCACCAAATGTGTGAACTGTACTCACAGTAAACATTACTGATCCTCCAGATAATCGAGTCCTCATATTTAGTTTATTTTGCTTTGTTTATCCAGAATCTTGCCTTCCCTTCCTTTTCTTTTTAATAATCCTGCAAAATATGGAAACTGTTAGCAGGGACTCCATGTTCCAAGCCCCTGGGAACACGTAGCTAATGCATTTCTTCTGCCATCCAGTTTGACTGCTTCAGTGTACAGCAAATATACTTTTCCCTCTCTCCACTGTCTTTCTTCCCCCTTCTGTTTCTTCCTTCTTCCCTTCCTTTAAGTTGAGGAAATAGCTGCAAGACTGCTCTGAGGTTCTTAAAACTTGGTTTACATGTGAGGTTTAAAGGTCACGGGACACTTCAGATGAGGCCTGATGGCAGTACGGTGGAAAGCTTCAGCAGCAGTAGTAGGGTGGTGGCATCACTGTGCTGCATGCTGCAGGGTGCTGCCCCACAGACTGACAGGTGTCTGGGTGCCTCATGCAGAGCCAGGAAAGCACTCAAGGAACTAAGACCTTCAGAAAACTGCTTATAGGGAACTGCTTATTCCAGCCCCAGTGTGAAACCTCCAAATGGGGTCTGAGCCAAATCCCACCATGCCAAGCAGGGTGCCCACACCTGCCTGTGATTAAAGCACTTAGGAGGCTCATGCTAGAAGTCTTATTTTCAGGTGTAAAAGTGGGTTACTAGGCACTTTGGGACTGGTCTGTTCTCCATTAGTCAATTAAAACATAGACTGTAGACTCTCAATCACCTTTAGGCACCCAGTGAGCATGAAGAAACTTGTGGTTGACATCCCTGTCATAGGGCTGCTGGTGGCAGTCACCAAGGACCCATGTGGTGTGGAGATCATGTCCTGCTGGGGCTCACCTGCTCCTGGCCAGGGCTTGCTTATGCCAGCTGTTGGAATCGGAGCTGCTCAGGAGATAAGAATTCCCACATTTGGAGATGATGAGCAGCTGAGTGGCTGGATAGAGAATCCCACTGGTGTCCTAACAGCAGGTAAGTATTCGAGATTTCAATTGCAAATCTTTCCACAGGGGAAGGGAAAGGAAGCCTGGATATTACTGAAAATTTAAAATCATTTGCATACAATAAACTGCTCTAAGAGACATTTGCCTGAGTGCAGCCACACATGCAGAATTAGGAAGTGCCAAAAATAAAATTACATCTTCAATCTTCATTTGGTCCCTTTGTGCTCATGCATAATGCTACAGATTTCAGCTGCAAGTTCATGGACCTCTCCTCATTCAGTGCACAAACCCGACAGCACTTTAGGAATCACCGCTGCTCACTGCTAGAGCATTTTCAGTCCTCCTGCCTGTGTGTTGCCCCAGTTTATCTGGCTTTAAAGAGTCTGACTGTTTAATTTCTTCTGGGCTACCCTCTGCTGTTCTTCAAGGTTCTTCACAACACCCCTGGGGTATTATCAGCCCTGTTTTACACACGGGGCCATGGAGCGCAGCAGTCAAGCTCACAAGTGGAAGCTGACCTTGGGGGTCTGGTATGAGGTTGGTTAGCACTTTAAGGCGCTTACTAATTTCAGGTCCAGGTACTTTCCCAGTCTGGATCTCAGACCAAGTTCCAACGAAATTAAGCTCAGACATTGAGGGCTACCAATGCAAAGCATGGTTTGAGCGAAATTCCCAGCCTTGGCCAGGAAGCAGGAAAAAAATCCAACACCTCCTCTCCAACCTTAACCACAGGACCCTTCTCTCTCTCAACAGCATATTGCATCCTTCATTCAACAGTTCCCTTCTGCTGCAATAAGGTCAGCAATGCTCTTGCCAGCAGGCCCCCTCACAACCCAGCCCAAGTCATTCCCCAAGCTCATGGATGGCCAGCGGTAAAAGCAGCTTATGGGCTACAGCCTGTATCAAACGCAGTGCCTCAGAAAGGGGCAAGTCCACAGCAGCCAGATCCCTGCACAGTGTTAACAGTGTGTAGTAGTTTCCATACAAACTGGTCATTCCAGCGTTTTCTGCCTGTTCTGTTTTCCAGAGACGTATTGCAGCTGTCTCCCTGTGGTGGCTTACACGAACTGCAAGGGGCAGGCAGCCTGCGTGGAGCACTTCTCCTCTCCAGTGGGTCTTAGGCTGCAGTGTACCATGCGGGATGGCATAGCTGCAAAGGGAAGAGGTGCAGCTTCCCCCAGGAATCGCTCTGCAGTTATTCTCTGCTACTGGCTGTGATTCTGAAGCCCTTGAAGATGCTTCAGACTTGGCAGAGAACAAACATGTTGGGGATGAAGAAGGACGGTAGTTGAACCAGGCCAGCAGCCAAGCACTCACACAGCTGCTTGCTCACCCCAGTGTAATAGGGAGAAAATAGGAAAAACAAAGTGAGAAAGTTTGTGGCTGGAGGTAAAGACAGTTTAATGGGTGAAGAAAAGAGGGGAGGGGAACCCCAGGAAAACACAAGGCAATCCCACATCGCCTGCCACAGGCAGACAGATGCACAGCTGTCTCTGGA